TTAGGATTAATAAAAGATATCCTAATTAAAATATGTTAGGATCGTTAGATATCCTAAAAAAATAGAAAACTTGGTTAATAATTAATAAAAGTTTTCTCAAAGAAAAGGATTCTTAAAAAAATTCAAAAATAAAAACTCGTGCACTCACCAACATTATGTTGACTTTCAAAATACATGTATTCTCAGGAAGATGAGTGTGGATGAGTGTCTCACTAGTAAAAAGGAGGTCTGCAAGGGAGTTGTTGAAGTTTAGTATCGTTTTGTTTTTAGGAGTTTGTGTCTGTCTCAAAATCAATGTAATCCTTCAAAAATCAATAATAAATAAATGTTTTAAAATATACCTTTGTGTTTGATTGTACCTGTTGCCGAGATCCAATTATCCCTAAGTTGCACTTACCGGTGTTTTCGCCAACGACTACGTAGGGTGTGACATTTACAATCTCAACATTTGAAGGAGCAGACTCAGGAAGAGGAGGAGTTGACGTACTTTCTAAAGACGTGGGCGTGGCATGAACTGGAAAATCAGGTGGCATGGATGAATCTCGAGCCTCTATATCCACATCAAAAGGATTTGTATGCAGAAGATCTGACTTTGTTACATTATGGGATGTAGTAGGAATCGAGTAGAAAGGAATATGTTCCAAAAAGGTGACATGTCGGGAAACATATAAATTTTGACTCACGGGCTCATAGCAATAATATCCTTTCTGTCTAACACCATACACCAAAATACACATATAACAGATTTTGGCCCCCAACTTGTTCCGCTCAACATTAGGACAAAGAACAAATCAAGTACATCCAAAGACTCATAGAGTAGAGTAGTCTGGTAAATGACCATATAGCTTCTCGAAAGGAGACATTCCTAAACTCAATGCAGTATGGATCTGACTGATCACATAAACAACAATTAAGACTGCTTCTCCCCAAAAAGTACTAAGGACTTGTACATACAAAAGCAATGAGCGAGTTGTCTCAACAATATGACAGTGTTTCCGTTTTGCCACACTGTTTTGTTGGGGAGTGTCAGTACACGATTACTGGTGTATGGTACCATCAGAAGCAAGAAGCTGAGTAAAATCATTAGAGGTATATTCACCCCCTAAGTCACACCTGAAACACTTTATCACAACTGAATGTTGTGTTTTAACAAGAGCTCTAAAATTTTTGTAAATGCCAAGGAAATCAGATATGCATTTCATAAGATTAACCCATGTATGACGAGTATAATCATCTATGAAAGATACATAATAAGTCGAGCCACCCTTTGTGGATACTGGTGTAGGACCCCACACATCATAGTGAATAATATCAAAAGGAGCAATAGAACAAGACATACTTTTATTGAAAGGTAAATCAGAGAATTTTTCCAGTTTACAACCACTACAAACACAAATATCACAACTGTTCAAATGACCAAAAACACCAGTAGATGATAGAAAACGCAAACGTGATACAGACACATGTCCTAAATGAGAATGCCAAAGAAAAAATTAAGACGACAAAGGACTCAAACGAAAAGAAGACAAATAAATGTTGGAGGCAACAACAACAGCCAATTTGAGAACCTCCAAGACATAAAGTCCCCGTACCCTATGACCGATCCCAATCACATTATGGGTGTGTTGATCCTGTATAACAAATACGAAATCAGAAAAGAACACCTAATTACCAAACTTACACATTGACTGACCGACACAAGATTCAAAGTGAGTTTGGGAATATAATAAACATCAGGGAGAGAAATATGAGGGGCATAAATAGACCTAACACCCTTAAGTGCCATAGATGTATCACTAACAGACATAACAAAGATAGAAGAATTTTATAAGAAAGAACTAACCGATGACAAATAAGGAGACATGTGATGGGTTGTACTAGAATTTAAAATCCACAAAGATGAAGGAATACGTGAGGTACCAGATGAAGTAGGACCAAAATGAGACATAGATGCAGACATGACAGTAGGATCAGAGGCCAAATACCGTCTGAAACTCTCAAAAACCTTGGGATCTAACACAAAAGGCGGTATGTTACCAACATATTATTTGTCAATTGATGGCGCAACAACAACAACAGTAAATTGTGGAAAACGAGGTGTCCATGGAGGAGGACCAGAGGAACGTGGTTGAAACTTCTGCTGACTAGACCTATGTTGTTGTCCCGACTAAAGTTGTTTACTCTTGTTAACTAATAATGGACACTGAGCTTTCCAATGATTTTTCTGTTTACAAAAGCCACACTCATCATAATAAACCCTTGGAGCTTGTCGAGACTGATTAGTAGGAACAACAAACACAACAGGAATGGAGGTAGTAGTGGAAAGGTAGTTTAGATCCTTTATCCGTATGAGACTTGATACGAGTCTCTTCTACATCAATTCATGAACAACGAAATCCACTGAGGGAAGGGGAACGATGGAGAATCGTTCCACGTAGGCCTTCAAAATCAAAACACAATGCCATTAAAAACTAGACCAAACGATGTTCTTCCCTCCTAGCAATATAAGACTGAAAATCTTTTAATTCTTTAGATTCAGTTAGAGCCAATTGATCCCACAAATCTGACATAAATCATAGAAATTTTGAATACTCATATCATTTTATTGAAGGGTATGAATGTCATATTTTAACTGATATTGTTTAGAAAAATTGGATTGAGTATATAGTCTCTCCAAATGATTCCAAACCTCATTTTCTGTGTCATACTTAGCCAATTGCATATCAATAAACTGTGTAACATAATTATTAATCCAAGTAATAACCTTGAAGTTATCAATCTCCTAGGTATTAACCAACAAATAGAAATTCTCAGCTTGAGGCATTGAAGGTTTAACTTTAACCCCAGTGACATAGCCCCGCATATTATTCCCACAAATGAAGTTTTTCATAATATAGCTCCAATACGTGTAATTTTTTTTCCATCTAATCGAGTACTGATTGGCCGAAGAGAATCATCATTTCCAATCATGTTGCTAGATAAGCACAACAAGAACAACAACAACAATAGACAAGCAAACAGAGAGCAAGAACAATAACAAGCCAGCAGAAGCAGCAAATCGAACAAACAAACATATATTTGTTTATGAGCTAGAGATAAAATGGCCCATAAATCTGTGGACTAATAACATATGAGCTAACAAATATCAAGAGCGATTTTGATTTCTAGCTTGTCCTTCGTACCGCTCCACGGATGCTTCCATGTCGTTGTTGCTTCTCAATAACCCATGTATCATAAGAACGTTTTTTGTAATTCTTACTTTTTTTTCTATAAATGAACGTACTAAAAAATAAACCCAATCAAACTTGTTTTAACCCACCTTAATAATCAATCAGTTTACTTCATTATTTTACCCGATGATTTATTTTAGACTAAACTGCACAAATGGTCCCTGTGGTTTGCTCAAAATTGCCACTTTGGTCCAAAAAAGTTTGGACTAGCACCAGAGGTCCAAAGTTTTCATTTTGTTGCTTGTTTGGTCCAATCTGTTCTGATTTTTTTTCCAAATGACGAATTTGCCCATGTTAATATGTTTTTCTCTTTTTTCTTAATTGTTTTTCTGATTTTCAGATTTAAAAAAAATAAAAAATAAAAAGTAAAATTAAACCTCTCTCTCTCTCTCTACGAAAATTCACATAATCACCACTTAATTTTGATTCACAAATTTTTCGCCTCAAAATGTTTTCAAGCAAGGACCCTTGAACTCCAGCAACAAATTTGTCTCCACCAAAGCCAACTTCTCAAGCGCCTCTGCTGCCGCCTTCCTCGCAGTTCAATCCTCACTTTTGACAACGAAATCAACCATAACCGTCACCAGATTCCTCACAATTACCTGACTCGAAGCAGCACCGACGCTGATCACACTCGCTACGACAGTCAACAATGCTGCCTTCGCTTTAAAGCTATCGTTCTTCAACAGCCTTTCAATCCTCGGTAACAGCCTCCTCAAGTAAGCAGTGCGTGGATCTGGTGCGCCGTTGATAACCTTCACCTTCTACCTCCTCCTTTCAAATGTCACTTCTGCATTCTCCCTCCTCTGTATTTTGTGTTAGGTTAAAACCCAAATCAGATATAAAACAACCCAAAGTTATGAAGTCGAAATCGTTTCAAGCCCTAATCGGTGGAGAGAGTACCGAAAACTTTGATTTAGGTGTGATTAGGGCTCGAAAACCCTCAATTGGAGCAACAATGATAGCGTACCTGCAACATGCCCTTCTTCTCTATCATCGCCACTGAACATCCTCTCCGGTGAAGATGATGAAAGGAAAAAAATGTCGGGTCATTAGATTCCTCGGTTTGGCCCTTTGCGATTCACACAAAAAAAATGGCAAGAGCAGCAGCATAACAGAGGTGGTCGATGGTGGTGACTAAGAGCAGCTCTTCGATGGCAGGAGGCTGCCCGATAGCCTAGCGGCTACTTCCTTTTTTGCTTATGTCGGCAATAGTCATCGGAGGGGAAGAGGGAAGATGTAAGGCAGCAGGTTGGAGGGTTACTTGGTGGAGTGGTTTTCGATCCAATGAGGGAGATATAATGGTAGAGAGAGAGAGAGAGAGAGAGAGAGAGAGAGAGAGAGAGGTTTAATTTTATTTGTTATTTTTTTATTTTTTTTAAATCTGAAAATCAAAAAAACAATTAAGAAAAAAGAGAAAAACATATTAACAGGGGCAAATCCGTCATTTGGAAAAAAAATCAGAACAGATTAGACCAAAAAAGCAACAAAATGAAACTTTGGACCTCTGGTGCTAGTTCAAACTTTTTTGGATCAAAGTGACAATTTTGAACAAACCACAGGAACTATTTGTGCAGTTTAGTCTTTATTTTAGCACCCTTAAATTGAAATTGCATATTTAATTTTTCGAAAATAAATGGTTTTCCATTCTAGAAGTCAAAGACTATAATGAGTTGAAGAATGAGATGTTGATTGATTTAGCGACAGTGGTAATAATGTAATTACGTTTATAAAGGAGGGCCGAAAAGTTTCTGATAAAACCAACTCGAATCGAAATCCAAATCTAAAAGACTAAAAAACTGACTCCCTTTTTAGTTTTTACCCTCTCTCTCTCTCTCTGCAATCTGCAAAATTTCCAAAAGAGTTCCAGTGGCTATTTGCATCGTACAAGTCACCGCCAGCGGTTCCACCACCGGAATCACTTCACTTTTCCTGTTAAACTGCCGTAATTTCTCAAAATTTAATGCAGAAAGCGCCGATACTGGTGGCGGTTTTGCAGACAACAGATACCTGGTTTTATAGTTAATGGCGCGGTAGGTTAAGCCATGGGCTGTGTGCTCGGTACGACATCAACTTCAGATCGCCGGTCAAAGTCAAACAACCGCCGCCGGAATGGAGAAGAATCTACAACTACGACTTCTACGCAACCTAGACAAAACGTCGAGCAGGTGGCGCCGGATGGGGCCAAGGATGATAAAAAAGTTGGAGCTGTGGAAACGATCCACCAAACCGACGGCGAAGTTCGACCGTCTGACCGGCGTAGGCCGAAGCCGGAATATAGCCTGAAAATTGTTCAAGGATGGCCGTCGTGGCTCTCCGACGTCGCCGGTGACGCCATTAAAGATTGGATACCTCGCCGTGCTAATACTTTTGAGAAACTCGATAAGGTAAATTATAAAAAACCTGAATCTCATCACTTATATATGAAGAATTTATTTTCATTTCGTCGATTCTGAATCGATTTTTCGAGTGACAGGTTATGAGATGTTGACTTTCACTGATATAAATTTCTTCAATAATTGATGATCAGATTGGGCAAGGAACATATAGCAATGTATATAAAGCTAGGGATTTAATAACAGGGAAGATAGTAGCTTTGAAGAAAGTTAGGGTTGATAATTTAGACCCCGAGAATGTGAAGTTCATGGCAAGAGAGATTATCATCTTGAAAAAGCTTAATCATCCAAATATCATAAAGCTTGAAGGATTGGTTACATCTAGAATGTCCTGCAGTCTTTACCTAGTATTCGAATACATGGAACATGATCTCTCTGGTCTTGCTGCTGTTCAAGGTGTCAAATTTACAGAGCCTCAGGTAATCTTCAAGATCCAAATTGTTTCATACTTTCATTATCCCCAATTAAGTGGTGGTTTAGAAGCAAAATTGTTTATGTTGCTCTTGTTCCTATATCTGCAGATCAAATGCTTCATTAAACAATTACTTTCTGGGCTTGAACATTGCCATAAGAATGGTGTATTACACAGAGATATCAAGGGATCTAATTTGCTAATAGACAATGATGGGATTCTCAAAATAGCAGATTTTGGATTGGCTTCTTTTTATGATCCAAGACATAAACAACCAATGACTAGCCGAGTTGTTACTCTTTGGTATCGACCCCCTGAGCTTCTTTTAGGGGCAACTTATTATGGTGTTGGTGTTGACCTTTGGAGTGCTGGCTGCATTTTGGCTGAACTTCTTGCTGGAAAACCAATAATGCCAGGTCGCACAGAGGTAGAAAATGAAACAAAAAACATTTCTTTTAATCAAAATCTAAACAATTATCTTTTCAAACGTACGTTAGATGCTATAATAGGTTATAATCTTTAGATTTTTTTTTTCTTTTTGAAGGTTGAACAACTACACAAGATATTCAAGTTATGTGGTTCACCATCAGAGGAATATTGGAAGAGATCCCGATTACCAAATGCCACTCTTTTTAAGCCACAACAACCATACAAAAGATCAACAGTAGAAACTTTTAAAGATTTTCCACCTTCTTCTCTTCCTTTATTGGAAAATCTTCTTGCAATTGATCCCGATAAACGTGGTTCTGCTGTTGCATCTTTGAACAGTGATGTGAGTTTACAAGATTTTACCTTTTTTTGAAGTTTTCAAGATAAACAATTCTGATTTTTGGAGTAATCTTTATGTTCCACATGTATACAGTTTTTTAACACAGAACCTTATGCTTGTGAGCCTTCGGAATTACCAAAGTACCCTCCAAGCAAAGAACTGGATGTCAAATTGAGAGATGAAGAAGCCAGAAGGTTTTTACCTTTTTACCCTTGTTTTTTTTGGGTATATGTTGATGGAGATTGTGTTGTTGTTTTTGTTTTCATAGGCAAAGGGGATTGAGTGGGAAATCTCATGCTGTTGATGGGAATAAAAAAGGAAGAACACGTGATCGGGCAGGTCGGGCAGTTCCAGCTCCAGAAGCCAATGCAGAGATCCAATCAAATTTAGATGTATGTTTTTTCTACTTTCTTGTTCTTGAATCTTGATGATTTTACTCATTGTTTAAATAAAATTAATAAAATCTATCTTCCATATGTGATTAAAAAAATGCACTAGTATCTTCCTTTTATACAATTAATCTAAAGTTTCTTTGAGAAAAAGTAACACTTTTGGATTTATCCTTTTTGCCAAAAAGTATGCATCATTAGATCCAAAAAAGCCACCACCTTTAGTTTTACGCGCTCATAGTCATATTTTCTACCAATTCGATTCTTTTCTTTATTAATTTATCATCATTAGAGTGAATAGGTGGCAAGAAATGAATAATCAAAATTTTCAATAGTCATCACCTCAATAAATGTGTTTGTTACTGTTGATGACCTGACCTGACTGGACAAACTTTCTAGAGCTATTTTTCAATCCCAATCCAATATGCATTACAAGGTCATCATGTCATGTCATTCTGTATTCATTTCCACCTTTTTGGGTCAGACAAAAAGTTTCACTCCAATTCATGCCAAATGCAGTACAAAATGATTGTGTTATGTTATGTTATGTCTTGTCATGTAATTCTGTATTCATTTACACCTTTTTGGGTAGGGTTTTATGCAGAAAAGTCCCATAATTTTGGGAATTTTTTTGATAAAGTCATTTTTTTTTAACAGAAAAGTCCTGATTATTTAATGTTTTGCCCAAATTAACGAAAAAAATCCTTATTTTTATTTTAACAGGAAATGACAAATTATCGTGTAAAATTAAATAATCAAGACTTTTTTTTTTTTTTAAAAAAAATTTAGGATTTTATCAAAAAATTTCCAAAAATTATGAGACTTTTCTACATAAAACCCTTTTGTGTAGTGACATTTTTGTCCCATTGACACGTGTCTCACCCAACAATATAAGGTCTAACCTGTCATGTCATGTCATGTAATATGTCATACATGATTTTGTATTAATTTCCACTTTTTGGGTGGGACAGAAACTGTAATTTTTGTCCCATTGACATCAGTCCTAGTCCCAGTACAATGTTGTTTTGTATTGTTTTGTCTTTGTCTTGTGATTCTGTGTTCATTTTTCTTGATTTTGATGTGTAGAGATGGAGAGTTGTAACACAAGGAAACGCGAAAAGCAAGAGCGAGAAATTCCCGCCACCCCACCGTGATGCGGCGGTCGGACATCCACTTGATCCGTCCCATAATAATAATAACGGTCCTGTTTCTTTCAATGGAGGTGATGACGCGTCATTTAGCTCATCAATTTTTGACTCAAAATCTTCAAGATCAGTGAAAGAAGTGGGGACCACTTCAAAGAAAAAACATAGAAGGGGACGATCACATACAATATCTTCTAGTAAGTTCATCCGTGCATTCCTTCCGACTTCTATGGATCTAAGATTCAAAACCAAAGAGGCAGTTTTTGGCAACAGAAGGTAGATATACATAAGTGCCGTTTTTTTTAACTTGGTTTTTTTTTTTTAAAAAGATGTTTCGACATTTGTTTCATGTTCTATAGTTTCTTGAATGAAATACGATTTGTTTTGGGGTTTATTTTGAGTTTTAAATGTACAATTTTACAAAGCAGAATTCATTTTTTGTATATAGTATGATCGGATTTCCTAGGTCGTATGTTTATATTTTGGGTATAATACAGAAAAGTCGTATGTATTTTATGGAAAAAGCTCTTACGTGAAAAAGTAGGCACTTCGTAACTTTTGACATTCTAAAAGTGGAAAAATATCTTGTTTGTTAAGCTTTGGTGTTGGTAGTATTAACGATAACATTTCTTAGTTTATGTATATTTATTTATAGATAAGATTTATATAGCTTTAGAGTTTGTTGTATCTTTGTACCTATACATAGGTATACTATCGACATTTATGGTATTAGAGCCACAATTCTAAAATCCTAATTGTTGTCGACTTCTCTCTCCATTAATTTCTTCTCTTTGAGTTCAACAATGGTTAACTCCCCACCTAATTCACAATGGCGTCCAGCCAAACAGGTGGTAGTATCACTAATGGTGGTTTTTTCAAAAGTTGTTTACTATTTTAAAAAGCTTTTGAATTTTTTTTTTTTTTTACAATTGGAGATAAAAGCTTTTTTGAAAACCTAGTAAATTACATTTTAACCATTTCAAACATCACGCTTGTGAATGCAAGGTCTTGAATGACATCGACGACTCACCCCCACAACATTTCAAACTTCACGCTTGTGGATATTCATGCCTTTCAGGTCGAATGTGACACCATCAATTTTATCAACAATCGAAGGTTGTCGATCTTCAAAACCACCCACAATCATGCTCTAATCATAATGAAGTCATCAACTTGCTTGAGAGAGTGCCTTCTCCTAACATCTTCTATTCTGAAAACCATTGACCCCCTTGTTGACCCGATGATTTCCTGCTCTAATTGTGGTCACACTTAGCTTCAATGTCCAATGTCCACCGAATGAATACATGATCATCGATAAACACATTAGTCCCAACCTCATCTTGTTGGTAACAGACACCAATGTACACCTCACTTATACCCCTTGGGGTAACCTATTTCTCCTTGGGCCTAACCATAGGGTTCTGCAGCCATACCTAACTCAAGGTGGTTGAGATTCTCCTTGGACCCAACAAACTCGTTTCAGTTGGGGTTATAAGTTTTAACATTTAAATATAAATTTTGATAAATAAAATAAAGCTTTATTAAAATAAATGATTGTAATTAGTAAAAAAGTATTTAAAAGGTTACAGTTTAAGCAAAGGTGTTTAGTTCACTTGTCAAAAGTTAGAGTTGATGTCTTTAATCTTGACTGAAGCCCAACTAGATTTTGAACTTATTTTGTTAAATTACCAGCCTTTAGGGTTGAGATGAATGCTTAAGGACTTAATTTATGAGTGTCCACGTGGGCCAAATTGAAAAATAGAAAGTCGAGGACCTTTCTTGTAAAGTGTTGAAAAATTAGATCTAATAATCTGTAAAGTCTAAACTCTAAACCCTCACAATCTTTTTTATTTGAACAATTGGAGTTTCGAGAAAAGGGGGACTTAGTTTAAGACTTTGAATTTGGGACAAGGATTAAATTTCTAACCGAGTCCTAACATCAAAACATTGAAGTAGAACTTGGGATATAGTTATTCCTTTCCATTAAAATGTCATTTGAGATTTACTTAATTGTGGAACAATAATTTGAGTTTTGAGTTTATTGTTTTTTAGATTTAATAAGTTTAGTATCGAATGTTGTAATTCTATATCATTGATGTGTGTTCATCTCCAATACTAAAATTAGCTTATGAAGCTTTGCCGGGTAAATTTTGAAACCATATCTTCATGAATCATCCATGGATTCATAGGGATCCAATTTTGATCATGATTTAAGCTTGGTAATGTGATTTGGATGTAAGTTTTACAATTCTAATTCCAAATTATGGTGATGAATCCACACGTGAAAAGTGAAATTATAGTGTTTTAATGGAGTTTTGAGTCGAAATTTAATGATGTTATTAATATTTAATTATGGGTTGGAATTAGATTTTACCATCCTATGGTCAAATCATGAGTGAAAAGTAACATTCCTTGAGTTTTAAGATTTTACCATCCTATGGTCAAATCATGAGTGAAAAGTAACATTCCTTGAGTTTTAAGGTTTAAATTTGAAGATTTATGGGATGATATCTTAGATTAAGGATTTAATTAAGCTAACGATGTTATTAAAATTTGGTTACATGTTTAAGTTGAGTTTTGGATCCATCCTAAATCGTTAAATTTGACCCTTTAGCTGATTTGAGCTGATGAGATTAAGAAATTTGGTAAAAACCACAAAATAAGATATTGGTTATGTTCAGTTGTGTAATTAAGTATGGCCTTACCCAATGGTTTGTAAAGTCATAAATGATTTAAAAATGGGTGTCATCATGGGCAATGTAAAACATAAGACCGTTTTGCTCAAGGATGGGAGTTCGATTCGTTAAGCCCCCCCCCCCCCCCCCCCCCCCCAAGAGGAGGTATCAAGCAGACTCAGTGGGACGGTTTGATGATTATTTTGCAGGAGGTTCATTTGGAAGATGCTCCTGATAGACTGGGATGGTTACTAGATATGTCCGATATGTTCTTAGTTTTTTTGGCTCATATGTTTTTAGAGAGAGGTTTACTTCATAATGGGGGGGTTGGAGACTCGTTGGAACAATTGAATCCAAATCAAGGTGAATATTCTCTTATGGAGGGTGTCCTTGAATAGCATTCCGACTAGAGAGAGAGGCTCTCTTATAGGGGTATTACCCTTAATTCAATTATGTGCCCGATTTGCTATGCAATGGAGTCGATTGACCATCATTTTACGAAATGTGCGGAGTTTACTATTATTTGGAGTAGAGTTGCTGTTTGGTGTAGGTGTGGCGGGGGGGGGGGGGGGGGGTCCACCTTCCTAATCCAGTTTCTATTCTGTCTCTTCTCATGTGGGCAAACTCCACAAGACTTTCTGGAGGGCAACGTAAAGCTTTGGATGCTGTGGTAATGACGGCCTTCTAGTGCATTTGGAATTTTGGAAATTCCAATACTTTTGGAACAAGTATTCCTAGAAAATCTTTTATTTTTTGATGATGTTGTTGATCGGTCTTATTTTTGGATTACGAGTAGATGTAGAAAAACTAATATTCGTTGGGTTTCTTGGGTGCAAAACCCTACTTTAGCTTCTATTTTATTGTAATGGTTCTTTTCTAGCTTTTTGTTAGTTTCTTAATAAAATTCCGCCGTTCCAAAAAAAAATGGGTGTCATCATGTGCATGTTTGTAAGACCTTTCAAGACGTCAAAATGGGTGTCATTAGGTGCACGTTCTTAAGACTCCCAAATTAGTTTGTAGGGGCATTGTAGATCTGTTGATAATTTTAATAACTTAATCTATGAATGCGGAAGCTTTTTTAAGGCCAGACCTTCAAACTCGAATCTAAATAAAAGAATAATAAGAGAAGGAGATTGTGTACCTGCTTCCATTGAAGCTTTTGGATCTGAAGAACAAGCTTGGTTTTCCAGTTGATCTCAAGACAACTCCAAGACCCCTTAGCAATCAAAAAAACGAATTTTGTGAAGTAATTTCGTCCTCTCTGATTTGCTGCTCATCACATATATTTATAGATGAAGATAAACCCTAATGTGAGAGATGGAAGGGATCTTGAGGATCTTGAGTCAAACCGGGAACTCAAGCCACAAATGGTAAGTGAATATCGGTCCATCAACAATCTTATACACTTGCCATAATATTTTGGATTTAAATGATAACAATATATATGTTCATTTATAGAATGGTCCATGATTTTCTAACAATCTCCCACTGGACCATGAATTTATAAATGTACATATAACCATATTAGCGCTTTAATGTATGTTATCATGATATTGGTACCCTTAAACAGTCTTGTCCATTAATCATAATTATATAAGATCAATGCGGTCTTTGTTACAATTTACGTAACTAAACCATCAATGGTCACATATATAAGTATAACTAACGACATAGATTAAACATGATGCGTGGTCACAAAATCAAAATTGATTTCCGACGAGTTCCTCTTTAACTTGAAGTGAGATCAAACTTCAAATAAGTGCAACTAATAATGGAATTAACCGAATTCTTAAGTCTGTACAGAAAAACATAATTGTTCTTAAACCAAAATAAAGCACCCAAAAATAAATTGTAAAACTCTCACTAAAACAAAATATCATCAATATTTATCACACCCATGTGTGTAGTATGCTCATGAAAGACCTTGGGAGGTAATCCCTTCGTGAGCGGATCCGCTATCATGGAGTTTGTCCCGATGTGCTCTATTGCGATTTTTCCATTTTGCACTCTTTCTTTAACAATCAGAAACTTAATGTCAATGTGCCTTGACTTTATAGAACTTCTGTTGTTGTTGGAATACAACACTGCCGACTTATTGTCACAATACAACTTTAGTGGTCTTTCAACACCAATAATACGCAGCCCCGTGACTAAGTTCCGCAACCATATTGCATGATCTGATGCCTCGAAACATGCTACAAATTCTGCCGCCATGGTGGAAGAAGTTACTAAAGTTTGTTTAGCACTCTTCCATGAAATAGCTCCTCCTGCTAATAGGTAAATGTAGCCTGATGTGGATCGATAACTGTCTTGGCATCCAGCAAAATCAGAATCAGAATACCCAATGATCTCCAAAACATCTGATTTCCTATATGTGAGCATGTAGTCTTTTGTTCTCTGTAGATATCTCAAAACTCGTTTGGCTGCTTTCCAATGGTCCATACCTGGGTTGCTTAGATATCTTCCCAACATCCCTACAATGAAAGATATGTCGGGACGTGTATACACTTAAGCATACATAAGACTCCCGACAACCGATGCATAAGGAATCTTCTGCATCTCTTTAAATTCAAGGTCATTTTTAGCGCATTGATCGAGACTGAATTTGTCTCCTTTCGAAATAGGGGTGTCTCCTGGTTTGCAGTTTTGCATGCCAAATCTTTCAAGGATCTTTTCAATATAGCTCTTTTGTGATAATCCTAGAATTCCACGAGATCTGTCTCGTTGAATTTGGATTCCTAATACAAATGAGGCGTCCCCAAGATCTTTCATCTCAAA